ATTTCCATGAAAAAAACAACTAAAACAATTCATGACACCAAAACCATCCCTATTAGAGTTCTGAAAAATATTTTAAAACAAAACAAAACAAAACAAAAACCTCACAATTCCAAGAGTACCAACAGAAAGAAGCCACCGGCCAGGGAAAGCAATTAAACACTGGAGAATGACTGAGAATCATCAACAGGAAAATTGCATGACAAACACAAGCAAATATATATCAATTATAACTATCAAAGTAAATGGCCTCAATTTACCAATAAAAAGAAATAGACTTGCAGAATGGACTAAGAAATGAGATCCATCAATATGCAGCATTCAATGAACACATTTAACTCAAAAAGAAATACATAGACTGAAAGTCAGAGAATGGAAAACAATACTTCATGTAACAGGAGCCCAGAAAAAAGCAGGGGTAGCTACTCTATTCACAGACAATGTGAATTTCAAGCCAACACTCCTCCAAGGGGATAAAGAAGGCCCATACACTCATTAAGGAAACACAAGAAGAAGAGATAACAATCACAAATATATTTGCATAAAATATGGAAGCATCTACCTAAAAAAACATGAACAGATATGAAAAAAATCAAATAAGCACTAACACAATTATAATGAGATACCTTAATACCCCATTGTTATAATATGTAGAGGAACTAAACAAATATCAACAAAAAAAAATAGCAGAACTAAATCAAACCTGTGAACAGATGAACTTAGCAGATGTCTGCATCATATTCCAACTCACAGTATCAGAAGGCACATGGGATGGTCTCCAAAATAGATCACATACTAGCCCATAGAATATGCTTAAATAAGTAGAAAAGAGTTGAAATTATCCCATGCATATTATCAGACCATAAGGAAATGAAAGTGCAAATCAATGACAAAAGAAATCACAAAAATACAGGGAAATTAAATAACACTTCCTGAACAACCAATGGATCAAAGTAAAACTTAAAGGAGAAATTAAACAGCATTTATACTTAAATGGTAATACCAATAAAACACACTGAAATTTATGGGACACAATGAAACCAATCCTAAGAAGAAAATTTACAGCAGTGAACTCTCACATCAGGAAAACAGAATGAGTTCAAATAAACAACCTAATGTTGAACCTCCAACTTTCAGAAAAACAGTAACAAATCAAACCCAAAGCTAGTACAAAGGAGGAAATTGTAAGGAGTGCACATTAATGCAACTGAGACTAAGAAAACAATACAAAGAATCAAGGAATTGAAGAGTTGGCTCTTTGAAAGACTAAATAAAATTGACAAACTCTTAGCCACATGTATCTAAAAGAGGAAAGAAAAGACTCAAATTCATGCAATTAGGAAGAAAAAGGGTGAAATCACAATAGATCCTGTGAAAATCCAGATTGCCATCAATACCTACTTTGAAAACCTGAATAGTAATAAGACGGAAAATACAGAAGACACAGATAGATTCCCAGATATATATGTATTGCCAGAACTGAATCAAGACATAAAAGTTCTAAATAATCCAATATCAGTCAATGAAATTGAAAATGTAATAAAAAATTTATCAACAAAGAAAAGCCCAGGTTCTAATGGATTCATTGCTGAATCATACAAGAAATTTAGAGATCTTATACCACTATTGGCAACACTCTTTAAAGAAAGTAAAAGGGAACCAATACTCCCAAAGTCATTCCTGGAAGCAAGTATTACCCTGATACCTAAATCAGAGAGGGACCCAACCAAAAAGGGAACTACAGATCAATCTCCCTAGTGAAAATAGACGTAAAATTCTCAGTAAGATACTACAGTAAATCATCAAGAATATTACCCTTGACCATGTGATTCATCCTACGGATGCAGGAATGGTTCAACATATGCAAATCAGTAAATGTACCACACCATAACAAGAGAGCCAAAGACAAAAATCACATGATCATCTCAATAGAAGCAGTAATAGAATTTGACGAAGTGCAACACCCATTCACTATAGAAACCCTATAGAAAATAGGAATGGATGCTCTTTATTTCAATCTAATGAAAGCCATCCATGATAAACCCACAAGCAACATTGCACTAAAAAGTCAAAAATTGAAAACTTTTACTCTAAAATGAAGAACAAGATAAGGATGTTCACTAATACCACTTCAATTTAATGTAGTTCTGGAAACATTAACCAGAGCAATTAGGGAAAAAAAGCCAAATTATCATTATTTGCAGATGACATGATACTCTATATAAAAGACAAAAAAACTCCACCAAAAGACTTGTAGATTTAATAACTGAATTCAGTTGTATAGCTGGATACAAAGTCAACACTCAAATATCAACAGCATTCCTGTACACAAACTCACTGAGAGAGAAACTAGGGAAACCACAACCTTCACAATAACACGAAAAAGAAATACTTAGGAATCAATTTAATAAGAGAGGTAAAAGATCTCTGCATTGAATACTATGTTACTTGAAAAACAAGATTGAAGAGGATATGACAAAATGGAAAGTCATCCCTTGTTCTCAGGTAGTAAAAACCAATTAGTGAAAATGGCCATACTCTCAAAACTGACATATAGATTTAATACAGTCCCAATCAAAATACCATTAGCATATCTCAGAAAACTAGAGAATCATGCCTAAAATTCATTTGCATCTAGAAAAGACCTAGAATATCAAAAACAATCCTAAGCAACAAAGGCAAGGCAAAGGCAACAAAATCCCTGACTTGAAATTATTATACTGTCAAAGTCACTGTAATTGAAATAGCAGGATACATGCAAAAAAAAGAGCTGAGGACCAGTGGAACAGACTAAAGGATGCAGAAACAACTTCAAATGTACTCAGCCAACTTATCTTTGACAAAGGGGTCAAACATGTTTATTGTAAGAACGATAGCCATGATAGCCTCTTTAATAAATGATACCAGAAAAAATGCCTTTCCACATGCTGAAAACTAAAATTAAACCCATGTATATCAATAATCTAAAAATCAAATGGGTTGAAGATCTAAATATTGAAATAATTATTAAATCTGCTGGAAATGAGAACAGATAGAACACTTACTAGGACATTGATATAGGCAAAGATTTCATGAACAAAACCCAAACCACACGGGAAATACTATAAAGACTCAACAATTAGAATCTCATCCTGTTAAAAAGCTTTTGAACAGCAAAAGAAATTACCAATAGGACAACCTACTGAATGAAAAAAAGCCTTAATCAGTTGTTCTTCAAAGGACTAACATCTAGAACATTTAAAGAATTATAAAAAAGTTAGACACCTGACAAATTTAAAGACTCAATCAAAAATGGGCATCCAAAGTGAATACATACTTTTCAGAGGAGCAAATACAAATGGCAAATAAATATTTGGGAAAAAAAAGTTCAGCATCACTGATTATTCGAGAGATGCGAATTAAAGTAATGCTGAAATTTCATCTTGTTCCAAAAAGAATAGCAGTTATGAAGAAATCAACTAATAATAAATGCTGGCAGGGTTGTAAGGAAAAAGAACCACTTCTCCTCTGTTGATCAGAATGTGGGCTGGTGCAACTACTGTGAAAATCAATGTAGAGATTCCTCAAAAAAGTAGGATTAGATGTCATTTTTGACTCGATTTCCCTACTGAGGAATCTTCCCAGAAGAATTAAAAACGTCATACCACCGGAACATATGACATACATGTTTATAACAAGCAGTTTGTAATAGCTAAATCTTGAAAACAACCCAATTGCCAATCAACTGAGGAACAGATTTTAAAAAAAAAAAAGATGTGGCATTTTTATACAATGGAAAAGTCTTTTTCCTAAAAGAAGGATAAACTTGAGATATTTCTAGGTAAATGGATAGACCTTGAGACCATACTCCTGAAATAAACTGGACACAATATGTGTGCACCCTTCCTTTGGTGTGAGAAACCAAAAGGGTAAATAGGAATCAAAGTGTACAATAGGTATTGTGAAATAGGAAGAAACTGTTCAAAAAGGAAAGAGAATGATCAAGGGATAGAGAAAAAAAGGAAAGTTAAAGAAAAAATGCAGCAAAAGGATAAAATGGGGGGGGGCCTTGAAAATAAAGAAAGCAAGAGAGACTGAAAGGGTAGAGGATTAAAAAAAAAAGAGGAACCAGGATATATCTTATACAGGAACAAATTTCCTATAATGAATGTGATCATTTTGTATATCTAAATTGCACCACTAAACTTAATAAAAAAAATAAAGAAAGCATAGTTATCATCTTTGGGTACCAACATTGAAGGGAGGTGTGTGTGCAGAAGAGTCAGAGAGAGAATTAATTTCAGGTAAATCCTGAAAGCCAATGGGTTGCAAAAAAGAAACCAATAAGATAAGAACACCACCACAAGCTGGAAACAAACCTAATGACTTGCAATAATTCTTAGTCCTTTATTTATAACATCTTGGCTCTTAATCCAAAGTGGGAGGAAAGCCTAATGCATTGTGAGTTCTAGACGGAAAGGAAAAAGCTCAGGTGCAGGGAGTCTGGGGGAAATAAGATTCACTGAGTATTAAGTACTTTTAAATATAGAGAATTTTTCTTAATAAATGTAAAAAGGACATAGTCCTAGTATTCTAGTGTTGTATGAATTTACAAATGTAAACAAATGAAAAAGAATTCATCTTAAATGTATAACCCAAAAGCACAGGTTTTATAAGCTATCATTAAAATATAGAATTCAATAAATATAGAAATCCTTAATTATTAAAATACAGAAATCACTAAAGGGATATAAGTTTTTTTAACCTACACAAAATTATTAAACAGCATGACAACTTCTGTAATTTAAATTTTTTTTCTAGCATACAAAGAGTGGAAAATCACTACATAGTCTTAATAAATATCGATAAAGCTCAAATGTCAGTTTTATTTCAGTAATTCTGTTTCTGTTAAAATACCAGTGAAAACAAGGAAATAATTTCGGAATCACAAGATATTTGGAAAATACACTATTTCTCTCTGAATGGGAAAATTAAGAAGACACCCACACACAGTATAAACTCACATTGCTCCATTGGTATAGACAGTGTCACTTCCTTCCACATACTGCACCTGAGCGGGATAGACATGTTGTACCTGCTGCACAGTCTGTACCTGCTGTACCTGAAAAACAAATATCAGGTGACACCGGTGAGAGGCGGATATAGAGAAAGAACTGACAGTGTTGGATATATCTCAAAGGTTCCTCTAGCACTCTGATAAACATCAGAATTGCTAATGTCCATATAACAGTGCTTACACTGAATAAACTCTGCAGCATTTTTGTAGGTGCATACGTCATATGTTTTGCTTCCTTCTCTATAGCCTCTATGACACTAGCTATAGCCAATCATTTCCATTAATTTTGAGTTTGTCCTGATGATAGCCAGTTATTTTTATAAATTTTGAATTTATCCTTTTATACTTTTCTTGGAAATGTAAGCAAATACGGGTAGGTGTATATACGAGGATCCCCACACGGATCCACATATACACATGCATGCATACGTGCACTGCTTATTCTGAGATAAAAAGTGGATACTAAATACTCTGAATCTTGCTTTATTCACAAAACAATATCAAGTAAAACTGTAGATCATTACTCTTCAGGTCATTGCAACATAAAATAATGACTAAATTATTATTTTTTTTACATAGAATAGTGGACAATTATATTTAGTACAAAATTCAGAAGTAACATAAAATTATTATTCTTACATAAAAAATTTAAAACTATATTATATACATATGTGTGAAGAGAGAAAGAGAGAGATAGGGAGGTAGACTGACTGATACTACATCAAATCAAAGAAAAAAGAACATTTGAAAGTTTAGAAAAAAGACATTATGCTTTTAAGAATAATAAATTTTTATGGAATTTAAGCTATTAAGTAAAAATCTTGACAACCTTTGGGTTGGGGATAACTGTTTAGACAAAACACCAAAGATGTGACATGTAAAAGAAAGAACTGATAAACTGAATTTCATTAAAATTAAAAACTTCTCCTATATGAAATACATTATGAAGATAATAAAAAGACAAAGAGAAAAAACAGAATAAGAAAAAATTATAGCAAAAAATTATATATGATTAGACATGTTTCTCAAAATATATAAAGAATTCTCAAAACTTAATAAGAAAATAAAATAACTCAATTACAGAAAAGGCCAAAAATCTTAAGGGATATCTCACCAAAGATACATACAGGGCTCATATGCATATGAAAATATGTTCCTCATCATGTCATCAGAGAAGGAAAATCAAAACAACAGTCACATATCAAAATCTAGAACACTAAATCAGAACGGCCAAAATTTACAACAGAAGCAAATACTCATATGATGTGTAAAAACTAGAGCTCCTATTCATTACTGGAGGAAGTGTGGAAAGGTATAAATATACTGAAAGACAAGTTGATAATTCCTTTTAAAACTAAACACATATAATATGGCAATCATTCTCCTTAGTATTATCCAAGGAGTAAACTTATGATAGAATATATACACACACACTTTTAGCAGCTTTACTAATCCAAACTTGGAAGCAACCTAAATAGGCAAATAGATAAACAAGCACATACAGAAATGGCATATTATGCAGCACTGAACAGAAGTAAGCTTTGAAAACCATAAGATGATACGGAAGAAACTTGGTTGCATATTACTGAGAGAAAGAATCCAATCTTGAAAGGTCTACAAACTGTATAATTCCAACTCTGTGATATTCTGGAAAATGCACAACTATAGACAACCTAAAAAGATCACAAATTTTCAGGGTTTAATGGTACATAAGAATGAAATAGGTGGTATAAACAGAATTTTTGGCAGTGAAATTAATGAGATCTCTCTCTCTCTCTCTCTCTCTCTCTCTCTCTCTCTCTCTCTCTCTCTCTCTCCCCCTTCCTTTCTCCCTCCCTACATATACATACATACTACCAACCCCAACAACAAACTCTAATGTAGATTAAGAACCTTGGGTGGTAATAATATGTAAATGTAGATTCATCAATTTTAACAAATTTACTGCTCTGGTGGTAGATGGTGATGTGCGGTATGAAAACTATAAGAATCTGTATTTTGGCTTCTCCTGTCATCTATTACATACAAGTACCATTTATGTATATATGTATGAATGAATGTGTAGAGAAGTAGTCCAGGCTGGCCTATAACTTGTGGTGATCTTCTGGCCTCAGCTTCCTCAGTGCTGGCACAACAGGCGTGTACCACTACATCTTCCTAGACAAGTATATTTTTAAAAACTAAAAAAATATAAAACATGTATTACAGAACACATGTAAATATATGAACATATTTTAGTTTAATTAAAAACTAATACATAGAATAAAAGCTGAACAAATATTTATAACCTTAAAGTGGAGACACTTTCCTAAATACATGAGTCAGAAACCAAATCTACTAGCCAAGGTTTAACTAACAAAAAATAAATATATTTATCGGGCAGACACCAATGTAAAAAAAGTTCAAAAATTCAAAAGTATACTTGAACAAATGGATTATATATTTAATATGACCTCCTGCATACAAATAGTTTCTACAAATCAGTAAGAGATAAAAGATAATAGAAAATGGATAAAGTATATTAGTAAGCAGTTTGCAAAGTTAAAATCATAGGTAATAGATGTAGATTTCAGAAGCACAATACCTAAACCAATCAGAGTATTTTAAATTGAAAAAATTATCTTTCACTCTAGAATTACAAAAATTATGAAAGGGACTGCATTAATCATTAACAATTTCTTAAGAAAATAAGCATACTTAATATACAATAAGAAATAATATAACTATGGTCTTCAGCTAACTTTGGAAGGTAGCTTATAAATAAGCATATCATTTGACATATTTGAATTTCTTGTAAAGGAATACTTCTCATTTGAAGAATTGCTGAATAATATTTTCTTTCTAATAGCTTATAAGAATGAAAAGCTAGAAAGAAAATATTAATGACTATGAAAAGTGTAGTTAATACCAGAAATCACTCTGTTAATATTATGGATGATATTAAAAGAATAAAGTAAGGTTTATATGTATTTTATTAGCAGGATCACTAACACATTACTAATTTTAAAAGTATGTTACAGAATAATTTTAAAAGTATGTTGCAGTATGATTTAATTTGTGTTTATATATAAAAGTAAATTTTTGTATATAAGTACATTTTAAATGTGGATATGCATATATGTATACATATCAGCATACAAACATACATACAAAATTATATAATACTGGGTTCAAACTTGCAGTCCTGCCTTAGCCTCCTATAACGATGGAATTGTAGGTTTGTGCCACTATGCCAGGCTAAATAGTAATTGCTTTAGGAAGAGATGGAGAAGGGAAGGGGCCAACTTCTTTATTATACATGTGTATACTGCTCTTAGAAATTTAAAATGTGCACTGATGAAATACGTGTGTAAATGGAAACAACTTCTGGCCATAGTGGAGTAAATACCACTTGAACTATCTTTCCTCACTACACAGATATAAAACAGGATAAAATATGTAGAATATAGTAATTTAGTCCTTCAACAAAAACATCATAAGAGTGTAATCCTCTGGAGAAGGGAAACAAAGTGGACCTTGCCATGATCCTGACTGCTAACCTGGAGACATTTTCCACTCTGCCAGAGCAGGAGGGTGTCACTGAGGTGAGGAAACAGAGACTGGAATTGGGGAAGCTTCAGCCAGGAAGCAGGCCACATTTGAGACAGAGCATCAGAGGAGGAGTTAGGTATAGAACTAACAGCAGAATTATGCAGGGAGACCTCCCTGAATCTGTCGGACTATACTAAATCGTGTATCTGTAGAATTTGGTGTTATTCAGGTTCTGACGAGGCAGAGGGAAAAGACCTTGTGAAACATTTAGAACATTCTGTGGACACATCGAATGACTCAAGCCTCCTTACTCCAGAGCTAAACAAGCTCTACGGTAAAGAGTTCATGAGGGCCATCGTATAAAATTAATGAGCCTTTGGCATATCAAGCTGATCACAATAAACTTAACTTCTTTCACAAAATATTTTTAAAGGCAGACAGCAAAATTCATACATATAACAATCTAAGAATAAGAATGCCCAGTATCTACTGAAAAATTATTCGATATCTATAACCAGAAGAGAAATCAGTGCTGGGAATGTAACTCTGTAGTTAAAAAGAAAAAAAAAGTCAATCAATAGAAAAAGAACTAGAAAGAACTGACATGAAGTTGAGACTTTAACATGGATATAAAAATATAATTTAAAGAAAATCATAAATATAGGGAAAAATAAGCTATGAAGAAAACCCAAGCAATATTTACATACAATATCTGAAATGAAAAATGCACATGACGAGACTAAGAGAAAACGATAACAGGAGGAAAGAAGCAGTTAATTTGAAAGCATAGTAATTAAAAAAACCTGCAATGAGAAAGGCAGACAAAAGAGAACAGTGAGTAATAGAGAACCAATAATTTATGGAATACTACGAAGTAAACTTAAAAGCACAATAGGAATCCCAAATAGAGAAGAGGAATAACAGAAAATACATTTTAAGGGTGGCAATATTTCTTCCAGAATTCATTTAAACTATAAAGGCAGAGACATAAGAAGACAGTGTACATAATGCACAAAGAAAATTGTACCCAAGTACACCATAATTTATGCCCTAAAAGTCAGTAATAAAGATACAAGTTTTTTTTTTTTTTTGTCTTTTCATCGGTACCAGGGATTGAACTCATGACTGCCTGAAATCCCCAGCCCCCAAAGATACAAATTTTAAAGCAGACAAAACAAAAGACACCTGACATCCAAGACAAAGATATTAAAATCATTGAAAATGTCCAAAAAATAATGTAAACCTAAAACAACTGAAAACGTCTTGAAAGTAGTAAGACAAAGAGTGAACATGGAATTCTATAATCAATGAAATAATACAAAAACTTTAAAAATACTTTTCTAACAAAAGCTGAAAAATTACTTTTCTAGCAGACATCAATGAAGGTAATGACAAAGTTCCTCAGGCTGAAGAAAAATAATACTAGATAGCCTACATAAAGAAATGAGAAGCATTAGAAATGTAAAATTGGTACATAAACTATAGTATTTTCTCTTAAATATTTTATTACCTCT